AAACCTTCTGAGAGGATCAGAGATGCTACAAGAGATCACCGATCAATTTGCGCCGCTCATGAAACGATTTGCTGTCTATAATCTGTGGGAGCAAAGGAAGACCAAAGCGGGCGACGTGAGCTTTGCTGTTGTGGAAGAGGACTCCGCAGCGCCTACGTGGGACAACACTGAACGGTGCGGTATATTCGCAACTCACGACGTCATGAACAAATTTTCAGACGTCCACGATGACGGTTACCGAGTTATTCTCGAAGCACTAGCACGATATATCACGACTGCGCCTGCTTTAATCCATTACAGATGGGACAAGGATATGGAAGCGCTGGGACATGAACGGCAACTTGAAGCAGAAGATTTGTTGAAGCCACCGCTCCGATATCTTATGTCCGGCGATGGTAACAAGCCTAACCGTAACGAATGGTTCATCATCCCACGCTGCTCCAGTACCTACTTTACCGGTAGGATTTTTCACGCAGAATTCGTACGGGAGAAGCTAGGTCCAGTCAACCACCTGGACGAAGCCAATCGACACAAAATTTTTGTTATATATGGACTCGGCGGTGCCGGCAAGACCCAGTTCTGCTTGAGATATGCAGAAGACAATAAATCAAGATACTGGGGTGTGTTCTGGATTGATGCGAGCAGCGAGGAAAATGCCGAGAATAGCTTTGCCTCGCTCGGCCAACAAATGGGAAAAGGAGCGACCTTCACGGGTGGGTTGTATTGGCTCTCCCGATGTACGAAGCCATGGTTACTCGTGATCGATAATGCTGACGATCCTGAAATGGATGTTTCGAAGTACTTTCCTGTTGGCGGCAGCGGCCACATCCTGATCACGACTCGCAATCCAGGAGCTGAAATCTACGCCACAGCCGGCCATCTTCGCTTTAGCGGCTTGGAGCCAGAAGATGCCGTTAACCTCTTGCTCAAAACCGCGTTTCCCAAGGATGCATCGCCTTCTCCAAAGTCAGACAGTCGACGGACTGCACAAAAGATTACATCTGAGCTCGGCTACTTGGCACTTGCAATAGCCAACGCAGGCACGAGTATTCGTCGCAACATTTACACACTAGAGATGTATCTGAGGCACTACCTAGGGCACAGGAAAGAGATGATTGTATCCAAGAGCATTAGCACCGCTGATGAAGCCAATATAATCACGACTTGGGAGATCCCGTTTCAGAGAATTGCGAGTCGCAGATCTCTAGAGTATAGGGACGCTGTGGACTTGATCCATCTATCCGCCTTCATGCACTTCGACTCTATACCTGAGGCTATGTTTCAGAGATCCTGGGAAGGCATTAAGACAGGGAAACAACTCCATGTCACTCCCGGTCTAGCCGAAACCACATCAGAATGGGATGAAGGGTCTCAATTTCGGCTACGAACGGCGCTGAGTATTCTTTACAACTACTCCATCATCGATCATGACCCAAAGAGGGGCCTTCTGTCGCTGCATCCGGTAATTCAGCGATGGGCAAAGGACAGACTCTCCGAGACAGACCAGAAACGCTGGCTCAATGCTGCCGTCGCTGTACTGGCGCAATGCATATCTCCACACATGGAGGCATCAGGCCAGGGATTTCGGAGGTCATTGTTGCCGCACATCGAGGCTTGCTTGCGAGCGCTAAAGTCACTATATAACACGGTCGGACCGGATACCGTGGAAAGGGCAACAGAGATCGAGCGGTTTGCCTGGGTGTTTGCTGAAAATGGTCTTTGGAAGCGGGCAAGCTCATATCAAGTCGACGTCCTCAAGTTCAGGGCCAAGAAGCTCGGCAGATTCCACATGCACACAATTGAGGCACAGCGCAGTCTCGCGCAGTCCAACTTCAATCTCTTCGATCTCATACCATGCATTGCGGCCCAGCGCCACATCCTTGAAACCAACTGGTATGCGCGCCCTTCCTTTGCAGACTGGATGACATGGCCACCTTGGAAACCGGAACACGTCCCCTATTGCATTACTCTCTCGGACTTGACACTCTCGCTCTGGTTCGCTGGGAAATTGGATTGGTCCAAACGGGCTGGGGAACGTGCCGTCAAAGGCCTGGTGAAGCGTTTAGGCCCTGACGACCCTCTGACCCTGACGGCCATGTTCAACCTGGCCCGCACATACCACCACCTCTGCGACAAGCACGCCAGCCGCGCCTTACTGGTCGAAGTCCTTCATAAACGCAAGCGGCTCTTCGGCCCCAACCACCCGGACACCCTCATGGTGCGTAACGAGCTCGGCATGAGCTTCTGCGTCGCCAGAGAGCGCCTTCCAGCCGCCGAGCGGCTCGTGTCGAACGTGCTGGCGGCTCGAAAGAGGATACTAGGCGAGGAGCATGCGTATACCCTCTGGTCGATGAACGATCTGGCCAGAGTGCTCACCACACGGCAGCGTCCCGACGAGGCCATCGCGATCCTCGATAAGGTTGCTCCCATCCTTCGCCGCACTTTGGGTGAGGCGCATCCCGGCATGTCAATGACGAAGGCGAACCTAACGCAGGCGTACGTGCGTGCGAGCCGATGGGGAGAAGCGGAGACAGTGCTCAAGGAGGTGCTACAAGTTGTCCCAAAGGACCATCCAGACTGGATTGTTGCCAAATTAGGGTATATACGCGTGCTGATTGCAACGGAACGATTGGAGAAGGCGGAGACGGATTGCCTGGAGGTCTTGAACATCATTGCAAAGGAGAAGGTTTTGTCGGCAGATAGCCCACGAATACTAGTGATTGCGGAACAGCTCTCGCTAATATACGAGAAGCAGGAGCGGTGGAACGAGCTTGAGGCGCTGAAGGCTAGATACCCGTTGATGGAGCAGCCGGGCAAGCAGCAGTTCAACATACGGTTGTAACAAAGGCCTCGGGCGAGGTGCACTAAGTAGGCCGATCCATCTTGCGGCATGGACACGGACCGGCATAGTCTTGTCCATGTACCTCTTTTCGTCTTGAGTGCTGCGTCTCTCTTGTATCTGTCTGGTTCCGCCTAAGAAGCAGCATTGTTGGCCGTTACTGTTATATTAGCCATGACAGCAGGAAAGGCAGTCGTGGAAAGACCGAGAAGCGCGACAAATGGGCTAGAATGCATGGTGGTCGACCTGAGAGGGTAGGAGAGCGGGGGAGCCCCGGCTGTCGTCATTGTGCTCATGGGAGAGGACCCTCACACGCTCTTCAGAGGCCACGAGACCGGCAAAGATCTTGAACACGCCAAGCACGTGAACTAATCCCTGACCACGTTCATGGACAAACTCAGCATCCCGGTGGACAAGAAGGCGCTGGCGTCCAGCTTCGGGAAGACTTTAATGTCTGGTTTCTACGGAGAAAGATTGATGACCTCATGCGCATACTCGCCGCCCAAGGAGCTAAGTCGCAGGATTGCAGACAAGCCTGGAAGAGTACGGAGGGGGCATTTCACGGATTGGATGACGGAAATGTGATGATTGACAGTCTCGACCAGGAAGGACCGAGATCCTGAGTCTCAAAGCGGAGCTTTATTGCTTCTAAGGCGGCGATGACGAGAGCGTCGGCAGCGTGTATAACAAGGATATCGACGAGGAGATTGAAAATTTAATGACCGACTTATTTGCATCAAGAGAGCATTCTACGTTTCGCATTGATTGAGCGTCGAGGGCGTACGTACAACTTGCCCTGGGCATATTGGATATTATATATATATACTTCTTGTTGAGGTAGATCTCCAGGGTGAAAAGTTCTTCCCGTCAGAATGAGCAGAGATATACTTCATGAGCAATCAACGTTATCTAACGCATTCCAAACCCATACTTTACTGCGGTCCTCATCAGATAACATCTGTAAAACACAGAAATCTACAAATGAAGCAGGTGCCCATGAGATCGTCCACCGAGATAGCAGTCTCAACGGTTGAGGTCCGAAACCCCATCCTCTTCGAGTAATCCAAACTCAGCGGTCCTTGTCGACTGTTGTCCGTGCCCAGATCAACCCTCCGTCTCTATCGTTAGACTCCATCGAGGTACTTCGTCCGTTCGTTCTTGCGGGTGACAAATTTGATCGGGACACTTCCTTACAGTGCACCGCTGATATCTGTTGTGAATACGGCATAAACGATATTCTATCATATCAGTGGAGACAAACTTGCACCGAAATCAACAATTGAGTCGTCACAAACTCGTCGACTGTCCCTCCCTCCCTGCCTCTTTATTCGATCATTTCCTTACCTGTATTATCCTCTCCCTTCTCTCCATCACCGGCTGACGAGTGATGACTCTCGATATCTTCGAGGCCGTAGTGGCGTGGCTTGTACGTTGTTATTCTGCATTCTACGAACCAGGGGTCTACAAGGGTCGCACCGTGTTCCTAGATGTGGTTCGGGGATTGTTGAGGTGCAGATGGAGCAGTGCGTATCGAGTAGAATAGGGTGGGTTTTGCTGTTGAGGAATGTTAGATAGAGAGGATTTGACGTGTAGGAGAATGCTTTGTTTATAGATGGAATAACGGTCTTTTAGTGAAAATTCTAGGAAGACTATCACTTTTTTCTGACATCGCGTCTGAATTGCAGGACTTATACAATTGCATCAAGGGCGTTTACTCTCTATGAATAATGTTTTCTGGAAAAGTTATTAAAGCACAGCATTTTTTTCTGGCGCTGCGTAGGGATTTTATGGATTCATTGAGGGTTTCGCCCTCTATGCATGACTTTTGCTACATTCCTCTCATCTACATTTGATCTTGCGAACAATCCGTCCATGATCCTTGGCTGTTCAAGGCGCGGGGTTGGAGAACTCCGATCTTAAGTGAGTGGGTCGGTGCACGAGGTGACTTATCGAGCGCTCCTCTATCTATCAGTTGACGTCTAGCTACGCTGGACGTGCTCTAGAGCTGAGGTATTGACATGCTACGAATGGAGAGTTGAGTGAGGCATAACTCCGATTCGGGTTAGGAGCAGCGATCTGTAATCTTATACCAACGCCTCTTCCGCCTCTCCCGTCTCATAGCTCTAACCCCTATAGCTGAACCGGGAGCCCTAGATCTCCCTTACCTCCATCCTTCACGCACCGCAACCGCCTTCTGCGACGCCTCGTGGATCTTCTCAACGAGCATCTCAGGCTGGCTCAGGTGCGGCGAGTGTCCCGAGCTGCACCTTTGCACCTGCGCTTTCGCGCTCGCGGCGAACATCTCCTGGTACTGAGGGGGAGCGGCCTGATCGTTCTCGCAGATGAGATAGGTGGAGGGAATGTAGCGCCAGGCGGCGCGAGTGAGCTTGGTGGTCTGCACCCGATACGGTTGCGGAATCAGCCGCGAGGCCCATAGCGATGCCTCGGATGGTGGGAGGTCGCTGTAGAGCGTTCGGTCGCCATGTAGGATGTAGAAGCGGCCGTCGGGCTAGATGTCTATGAGTTTTTTGGGATTTTGGAAAGAAAATGAAAGTACACGACGTACTTACTTTGACGTCATTGTTGGGCGATTCGCCAAACCTGCTTAATACGGACTGGCCCTCATTGAGCAGGAACGCAGAATAAAGGAAGAGATGGAGGACGCCTCCTGGTAGACCTTGAGCTTTGCGTTTGGCGTAGCTGAGCTCTTCAGTTGCGGCTTCACTGCCTACTAGACCGCCGTAGGAGTGCATGACCAGCACCACAGTCTCGCCCTCATGTTCAATCTGGGGATTCAGCTCGGTGCGGATGGCTAATGCGTCGTCGACGAGTGAGAGCTGTGGAAAAAGTGTGCTGTCTGTGTTGCTGCAAGTTGGGAGCTGGAAATGAATCGTAGGATATCTTTGAGCCAAAAGCGTTCGTACTAGTTTTTCATAAACCTGGGGGACCGGAAATGAGCCTTTAACAATTACGATAGTGGAAAAATCCTGTATTTGAGCGGCCGTAGCAGACTTAATTGAGGCTGCATGGTAGTGGTTGACAGGTGGATTCAGGCCGGTTTCTAGAGTCGTGACATTTTGCGAACCACAAAAAGGTTTGGCTCAAGAGAAAAAACATCTCCGCGAAAACGCAAACATTGATTTTATCTATACTTTACTGATTTAAGTTTCGATCTATACTAGACTTTCGCAACGGGGCGGGCTGGGGCGGATTCTTGCCGGGCTCCTCGCCCCATAAAGCCGCTCCGCTAAGCCGCCCCGCTGCGCAGCGTAGCGCCGAGACTCGGGCGGTGCTAGGTACCTAATTGCAACACCGCTCTAGAAATGCGTAATAACTGACATTTAACCCCTATAATAGTAATCTAACTATTATAGACTAATATCTCTTTAATATAATATATAATACGCTAGTCTAAATAGATTACTTTCTTAGCTATTATTACACTTCTTAGATAATAAGAATTATTAAAATATTTAAATATCTATTTATTAAAGCTTTATTAAGATAACTTAATAGAAAATACTTTAGAATTTATATAAAAATCTTTTAACGCGTAGATATATCGTTAATTATAGAGCGAATTACTAATTTATATTTTAAAAGTATAAATTCTTATCGAATTATACTCTTTATTATTAAACGAGTAAATTTATAAATTAAATTTATAATCTATTTTTTTAATTAGAGCTGTCGAGTAAATTTAATAAGCGATCTTTAATAAGTAATATTTAAATTTCTTATCTTTAAAGAATTATAAGATTAAACTTTATAATTTTACTATATTCGAAAATTATAAATTGCGATCTATAAGTTAAGAAAAAAATTTAATTTTAATAGAAGATAGTAAAGTTATTATATTATTAAAAGTAGAAAAAGAGATTTTAATAATTACGAATATTAATTTATTTATTCGCGATATCTAATTAAGAAGCGTAGATCTATCGAATTTATAATTAATTATATATATAAATTTAAAATTATCTAGCTTAGCTTTATCTTATTCTTTTATATATATTAATTATATTTTTATATTAAATTTTACTTAAATATAAAGTATAAGTTAATAATTTTTTATTACTTAAGATATAATTTAATAAGTTATTAAAGTAATCTTAAATAAGTTTAAGCTTATAAACTAAATTTATAAAAAGTAGTTAATTTTTAAATCTAATTTCGAGATTAAATTCGACTCTCGAAGAGAAAAAATACTTTAATTTAAGATTTACTTAGAACTATAAGATCGAATTTTATAAATAGAAAAAAATTTTAAATTTTAATAGAAAAAGAAGAAGATATATTAATAATAAGTTTCTTAAAGAGTTAATTAACTTTAAATTAGTTTATATTTAATTAATAAAAAGTTAATTTTAATATCTATTATAGTTTATTTCTATTAATTATTATTATTATTATTATTATTATTATTATTATTATTATTATTATTATTATTATTATTATTATTATTATTATTATTATTATTATTATTATTATTATTATTATTATTATTATTATTATTATAACTTTTAGAATTTTAGAATTATTAAAATTTTAGAATTTTAGAATTTTAGAAATTTTTAGCGAGGAAGATTAATAGATTTAATTCGAGAATAATATAGAATAATTTCAAATCTTATTAAAATTATTACTACTCGACTATTTAAGTTTATATTAAAGAGTATTATAAATAGAGTAAATAAGTTTTTAATAAGCGATTTTAAAATTCCTTATCTTTAAATACTTATAAGACTAAATTTAATAATTCTTTTTTTCTTTTAAAGCCTAAACTACGCTTTATAATTAAAAAAGAAAATTAAAAAAAAATTAGTAGAAAAAAGAGAAGTTATATTAATATTTAATAATAAGTTTATAAAGAGTTAATTAACTTTAGATTAATTGAGATTTAATTAATAAGAAGTTATTTTTAATATCTATTATAGTTTTTTTATAGTAATATTCATCATAATTTTTTTATAGTAATTGTTATTATTATTATTTATAGAATTTTTAGAATTTTTACGATTTTTACGATTTTACGATTTTACGATTTTTTAGAGAGAGAGATTTATAAATTCGAACCGAGAACGAAGCGAAATAGTTTCGAATTTTATTAAAATTATTACTACTCGACTATCTAAGCTTATATTAAAGAGTATTCTTAATAAAGTATTAAGTATCTATTACGAATTCCTCCACTAGGCGTCCCGATTGGGCTTAGTGCCTTGGCGCTACGGCACTGCAGAGACTTCTTCTACTATAGGCCTACATAGTCCATTATCATTATTACACCACACATACATTATTCATGCATATGATTCCACTTAGGACTATTCCTTAACAGTATCTAAGTCTTCAATAAGCGATATTTTAGATTCTTTATTTTAAAATATTTATAAGATTAAATTTAATAATTTTTTATTTATTTAAAAGTATAAATTATATTCTATAATTTAAAAAAGAATCTTAAAATTTAAATAGAAAATAAAAGGTTATTTTTTAATTAGAGCTATCGAGCGAACTTTAATAAGCGATATTTAAATTTCTTACGCTCTAATAATTATAAGATTAATTTTAAAAGTTCTTTTAATAGTTAAAAACGTAAATTACACTTTATAATTTAAAAAAAATCTTAAAAATTTAATAGAAAATAAAAAAGTTATTCTATCTATAAATAAAGTATATCTATTTTTTTAATAAGAGATTTTAAAAGAATTATTAGATTAACTTAGTCGATTTAATTAAAGAGTATAATAAACTTAAATTTATAATTAACTATATATATAAATTTAAGATTTTTTAACTTAGCTCTATCTTATTCTATTATATATATTAATTATAAAGAAGATAATTCGCGATCTAGCTTATACGATTATAGAAATAAGAAAATTTCTTTAATCGTATTTAATAAGTAATCTATTAGCTTATATTATTAAATAAAAATTAAGTCGATTAGATTTAATCTCTTAGTCTAGCTATATTTAGTTTATAACTCTTATATATACTTTTAACTTTACTTTTAATAATTTATTATAGTATTCTCTTTATACTATATTAAAGAATTATTATATATATTATTAAGTTTCTAATAATATCTATATTAAATTAATAAAAGTTATTATCTTTTAACGATTACTTAGTAATATAATCGTAATACTAGAGTTTTTTTAATACGTTATATATTTTTAATAGTACTTTTCGTTATATAATAGTAAATTAATTTCTTTAAAAAAGCGTATTAATTTTTAATACGAAAAATCTAGAAATCTAAGATAATATAGTAGTAATTATAAATTAATAATTTTAATAAAAATTCTAATGTAAATACGTTAGTAGTAATAGATTTACGTAGATTATTAATATATATAAAAGAATAAGATAAAGCTAATTTTATTAGGATCGGTATAGATGTAATATTAATATAGATATATTAAATAAGATAACTAAGATATCGAATTATATAGGTGAAAAGGAGGTATAATATAATAGAGGATATCTCCGCTAAGGCCCGCTAGTTATAGAGCTAAGAGGTATATTAAGAATACGCTTATAATACTACCCCCCCCCTTCGTTAAATTATATCTCATAATTAATAAGTAAAAAGATAGAAAAATAAGTATATATACACGCTTAACGCCTAAAAAATAATAAAAGTAATAAAGAAATAATCATATCCGGGAACCTCAGCATCATACCTTTCTCCGTGAGAGGTATTAAGAACAATAGTAGCTTTTTATATTTACGCTATAGCGACATCGCTAGCCGAGGTATATACGTATATAGAGAGCCTAGCCGAGAGCAAATCGATGTAATATAGCGAAAACCATATTTATAGGCGTAGAGGTAAATAATAGTAATTTTCGAATTCGTATTTAAGCGAATAGAATATCTGTGAAATAATGCGATATAATTAATTAAGGGCTCTCGAATTAAATCGAGTCGTAGACGCTAAAAACTCTAATTTAATATTAAGTAACTTTAATATAGTCTTCTCTATAATATATTATTTAGCTAATATTAATTATATTTTATAATAGCGATAATATAGTTTATATATATATTAATATAGCTTCAAAAGGTCTTTAGAGTTATATTAGCAATAAGAATTTACGCGAAAGACTATATATAAGATAATTCCTAATTAAAATAGATCTGAGGAATCGATTCTCGGTTTTAAAAAAAATAAGGCTATTATAAAGATATCGGACGGTTTTAATTTAATTGAAAATAAGGTATTTAAGATAGTTTCGGCCCGGGAACGCTATCGCTATTAAAGGCCCCTCGCCCTAATTTCTTTATAAATAAGACTCTTCGGAATATCGCTTATAAAAGTCGTCTATTAGATTCTAGTAATTTTCGAATTTATCGCCATCCGCATTATATTAGATAGAGTTATTATCGAAGTCTTTTTACTTAACTTTATACTTGAGATGATTATAGATTAATTTAAAAGTAAGTATTTCTTTAATAACTTATTCGATTTAATTATTAATAGTAATATACTTCGGTGGAGAGTTTATCTACTCTAATAAGAGATTATTTATTGCGAGACTTAAGAGATTAAGATAGAAGACGTTATAGATTCTTATACTTAATAAAAGTTTTAGATAATATAAGATTTTTATAAAGCCTATAATCTTGAATAGATTGAGTCTCTTATAGTTTAATTTGCGAGAAAGGCGATTAAAGGTAATATTCTTACTATTTAAAAAGACCTTATCGCCTATTTAAAAAGTAACCTTTTATTAATACTTATTAACTTATATAATTATAGCCTTCTAAGCGCGGTTTATATTACTTTAAATATACTTAAGAACTTATTTTATATAATTTATAATATCCTTCGCTTAAGTAATATCGAGATACTTATATATAATCTTATAGTCGGTAGTATTCGAGCTAAAAGTCATTCGAGGATAAAATCCCTTATTTGCGAGGAAAGATAGAATATTAATAGTCGATAAGATAGTATTATTATTAACGAACTCGATAATAGATAGCTATCTTACTTAATCGTTCTATATATAGTTATAG